TGTGTGTGTGTGTGTGTGTGTGTGTGTGTGTGTGTGTGTGTGTGTGTGTGTGTGCGTGCGTGCGTGTGCGTACGTGTGCGTGTGTGTGTGTATGTGTGTGTGTGCGTGTTGCACTTTGCAGTAGCTATACCATTAATTGCTATTTACTACTGACCAAGGATTTCATTTCGGAATATTTCTTATTATAAATTGTTATACGGACATTTGTGCTATGCTTTTCTTCCAGCTTTTAAGTTGAGTGTCAGTATAGCGAGCTGCGCGCACTACTATACGCAGATATGTGTTTATGATAATGTGCGTTGAGATATTCGTGCTTCATGGCTTTGCAGGAGACGACGGCGAGCCAGGAGTAGAGGGTCTCGATGGCGGACCAGGACAGTCTGGCAGGGAAGGTTTACCGGGAGCACCAGGAAACCAGGGTAAGTACCGAACCACCAGCTCCACCACTGCCGTCCGTTATGTTCCCATTGCTTGTCCTGAATGCATGTACGCGCCCCTCCACTGATTAATCGGGATGGATTTCTTTCCTTAATGCAATTATCTGCACGTAATCGCCTCTCGTAGTTTTTCGCTGTTTTGCTAATAAGTGTGTGCTTTCCCGAAGGTGCAATCGGTGACAGTGGGTATGACGGAAGACCCGGTGCCTCAGGACCAGCCGGTATGAAGGGTAAGTAGCAATGTTACACGTTCTAATTGGAATAAAAGGACGAACGTATGAACTCGACAAAGTTGAATTGATGTACACGTACAATATTGTAAAAGCTGGTTAATGATAATTATTATATCTACGACACAAGTGAAAAAAAATCTCTTTCCTAAATTTATATATTATAATCAGTCATGAGTATCACACGGGGTCGCCATAAACATATATTATACATCCTCAAAAAATTCCAATTCCAATATACAATGACACGAAATTTTACTAGGGAAGTGATTCTAATTATTTATTTCTATAGGTGAGCCAGGTCTGCCTGGTTACGATGGTCTCCCGGGTAGGGTCGGAGAGGCTGGTCTGTATGGCAGCAAGGGACAGAGAGGTCTGCCAGGAGACTCAGGTAACCGCACATATTCTCTCTCGTTCACCATCGCTATAAACCCATCGAGTTTTCACAACACGCTTCAGGCAGGCACCCAGAAACGCGTACTCTCGGTATTTGAATTGCGTCGGGAGTCAACGACTCGTGTAAAGTGACATGATTGTCTCTGAACGACATCAGCTGATTTGCTTACTTGCGCTTTGTGACACTTCGCTTGTCATCATTGCTCGTTGTTAAGTTCCGTCAAATTCCGTTCACAACACGATCGCACACGTTCTCTTTCCAGGTTTGCCAGGCAGAGACGGTGAAGCAGGCTTGCCAGGCCTAGATGGGCTTCCAGGCTTCAGAGGAGACCAAGGATACGGATATCCGGGAACAGCAGGACGTTCGGGCGCAGATGGTCTTTCGGGACTACTTGGTTTGCCTGGGCGCGATGGCACTAAGGGCGAGATTGGAGAGATGGGACTCCCGGGTACGTGTTAATGTTTATAACAATTCTGTTAGTGATCGTAGCAAGAGCGCATAAACCATTTGTAATATGTTGTCATAATATTTGTAATATATTCTCTTTTCCAACCCGGATTGTTGTTCGTAGCAATAATATTGCCCATATATTGAAACCACAAGCGTCTAAATGACTAGCCAATGATGATCGAGATGATCAATGATGATCGAGATGATCAATGATGATCGAGATGATCAATGATGATCAATGCGAATGGTCTATGACGATGATCTTGAAAGTTTCGTTACCGTTCGTAGTTTGTGATCGTCAAAAATTCGAGTCGATGAATGCATGTGGATAATTTCAGGTCTCGATGGAGAAAACGGAAGACAGGGACCTGCAGGCTTTGAGCCAGGACTACCAGGACTCGATGGGCTGCCTGGCCTTTCCGGAGAGAGGGGATTGGATGGTCTGCCAGGTCTACCAGGCCGCAAAGGAGAAGCAGTACGCAAATTACATGCCATTACACTTCCTAGTAGTCGGGGTTAAAATCCATAGTAGTTTAACTCGGCGCTGCCTAATTCAACAAGATTAATGCTGCCTTATTTTTTGTGATATCACCAGTACCACATGGTGCACACGTGCACAAATGCTCGGTAGCACGCATATGCACGCACGGACGAGGAACGCACACATACACAATAATTATATGCACAACTCACTTAATAATCTCTATCATTTCATATCAAAGTTAATGGAGATCATGATCATGTAATATGTCTCGTGCCCGTATCTAGGGTACAGATGGCTATCCAGGTGAAATTGGTCCTCCAGGATTCGCAGGCCCTGACGGAGACCCCGGTCTCAATGGTCTACCCGGTCTGGAAGGACGTGATGGACCAGCAGGAGACAGAGGGCTCGATGGTATATGATTTGTTTTGTAGATTGTTTTGATTTTCTTTCACTTGCAATTACTTTCCTAATACTTTTTGTTCGTAAATCTATAATCGTAATTGTGTAAAAATACGAATTTTAATTTGAAATCTTTCCGTTAAATTTTGTTGCGTGCCAACCTAATTTCTGCGTGCAATTAATCCGGTCGTGGCATGTATCCGCAGGTCTGCCCGGTCTCCCGGGAAGAAGAGGAACTCCTGGGGTATCAGGAAGATCTGGTGCCAAGGGCTTCCCCGGTAGACACGGAGGAGATGGTTTGGATGGCCTACCGGGTGCAAAGGGTCTAGTTGGCAACAGTGGGAGAGATGGCTTACCCGGTCTGCCAGGTCTTGATGGACTCAAGGGTACGTTTGTGAACAATGCTGTCTCTCTTTATCTGTTGTGACAGGCTAAGGCATCACGTCATTTTAGAAGCCTCTTTAATTCATGAGAGAGGTGTGTACGCGTGCGTGCGCTTGTGCGCGTGTGTTTGAGGGCACTAAGCACTGGGCAAAGGTGACATTGCCGTTAATTTCATATGCGCGAATCTCCCTCCGTAATGATTCTCGCCATTGCACGAAATCTACACGTGTAACGAACTATTTCGCCGACACGCAGGTACGAATGGACTTCCCGGTCTGCCTGGCGAATTCGGAGAGAATGGTCGCGTCACCGGCGGCAGCCGCGGCATGCGGGGAGAAGACGGTCTACCCGGCAATGACGGACTACCGGGCTTGGACGGGCTGCAAGGCAACCGAGCAGAGGACGGCATGCCAGGCCTCAAGGGAGACTCCGGACTGCCTGGTCTCGATGGGTTGCCCGGAGAACGAGGAGAAGACGGAAGGGCCGGATTTCCCGGAACACCCGGACGCAAAGGTTCACCCGGATTCGATGGTCTCAACGGATTGGACGGTCTGGACGGACCGAGAGGAGAATCCGGTTTCGATGGTCTTCCCGGTCTGCCGACCTACGCCCGAGAGGTGAATATAGTGCCACGTCTGTGTAATTCTCCATGCGCTGTGCGTTTTATGAACTTAATTAGACGGATTATAGCCTACTAATGGCGCGCAAGCTTGTGCGTGTAACGTTTGCACGTGTGTACGGAAATGTTTCGCGCAACACATATAGCGCGCCAAATTGTGCATAGCGCGCAAGGAGAATTATGACGCCATTTTTCTCATTAGGTTCACCTAGCCCACTAATGGTGCGCAAGCTTGTGCGTGTAACGTTTGCACGTGTGTACGGAAATGTTTGGCGCAATACATATAGCGCGCCAAATTGTGCATAGCGCGCAAGGAGAATTATGACGCCATTTTTAATGTTGTGTGAAAAAAACAACGTAAAAAACGTAGCATCGTAACAATACTGTAACAAAAATACAATGACATCAAAAGTTCATCGGCATCGACATCACCTAGCTACATACCATCACAGCAACGCGTGTCTATTTTTACACTCCATCAGGGACTGCCAGGTATCCCAGGCCGCGATGGACAGAAGGGAGAGTCAGGCCTTCCCGGTCTAGACGGTCTGCCAGGACTTCACGGATTGCGGGGAGATGATGGTTACGACGGTCTCAATGGTCTGCCAGGACTGCGGGGTGACCCAGGTCAGTGGTGATGACACATTCCTTGTAACAGTTAGTTACGTAGCTTATGTTCTCTTTTTCCCCCCGGCCGAGACACTAGGCTGCGCGTAACCATTGCCTTACAGTGTGACATTGCTCGCGCAAGGTTAAAACCAGCTATGCGATATTCATCTGAATTCGTGATATTTCACCGATCACAAAGGATAATACTGATGACAATAACGGACGCAAAGACTTCCGTATACTTTTTTTTCTAACAAGAACTGAACACTTGCGTTTTAAGGACCCAAGGGCTACCCTGGTGATCCGCCACCGTCCAACCAGTCGAGCTTCGCACCGGCCGGAGAGCGGGGCATCCCGGGCCTGCCTGGTATGCGAGGCATGGTCGGACGTGATGGTCTCCCAGGACTGGATGGCTATCCGGGCAGAAAGGGAGAGGGTGGCCGCCCTGGTCAACAAGGATTCGATGGCACCGGAGGACCACACGGCCCCGATGGCTACCGTGGTGCGTTAGCAATTAGTTACTGGCTCGTATAGTTATGCTCTCCTGGCGTGAAATCGGTCTGAGAGATTAACATCTCTGATCATCGCGTGAAACTTCTACCAGATCATTTTACGAGTGCACAGCTTAAGTCATCGTCTGTGCTGTTCCTATTATTATAGGCCAGCAAGGCAGAGAGGGATACCCTGGTCCTAAGGGCTACCCCGGCCCCGATGGAGGTGCCGGAGGTGCTAGTCCACCGTTGGGCTTCATCTACACCAGACACAGCCAAACCACGGACGTACCCATTTGCCCCAATGGACAGAACAAGCTGTGGGATGGATATTCGCTCCTCTACGTACAGGGCAACGAGAGGGCCCACTCTCAAGATTTAGGTAATATCTTCCACATGTATACGTGCATCGTATGATTAGTCCTTTGGATCTTTATGCGTTAGGGTCGCACATGATAACAAGATAGCGCAGTTTTCGATCGTTGAACGCGTTTAACCGACTTCTCAGTCGTGGGTAAACCCTAATATAGCGCTAATGCATATACATCATGGAGTTAGGATTAGTTTGGGATTCGTGGTAAATAATGGATTAGGGGATTAATGTTTAGGGTGGTGTTTTGGTGATGATGATATGATGACGGTGATGTAATGTACGGGGCTTACTGAGTGTCTCCCTACGTGGTACAAACTCATTCCCCGCGATTTCAAAGATGGCGGCATAGCAACGCGCGACGCGGCGGTAACAACACACGAGAAGGCGCCTAGGTTCAGGAATTTGTGATCCGGATCACTGATCGGCCCAAACAAACGCGCAGGATCACTGGATCAGCATGATCAGGATTACATGATCCGCTCAAACAAACGCGCCATAGATTAGATCTAACCGGAAACCTCGGGACGGTGTCTCGATGCGCAGGCGCTCCGGGAAGCTGCATCCGCCGCTTCAGCACCATGCCGTACATGTTCTGCAACCTGAACAACGTCTGCAACGTCGCGCAGCGCAACGACTACAGCTACTGGCTGTCGACGCTTGAGCCGATGACGATGATGATGACGCCGATGGTTGGCGAGGAGATTCGGCCGTACATCAGCCGCTGCACGGTGTGCGACGCGCCGTCGCAGGTGATCGCCGTGCACAGCCAGAGCATGCAGGTGCCAGACTGTCCGCACGGCTGGGAGTCGTCCTGGATCGGATACAGCTTCGTCATGGTACGTGCCAAAGCGCTCACATATAAGTGTACTGTTTTACTATAGCTACATCTTCGATCGCTACATAATAATCTTATATCTGCACAACTCTCTCTCTCCGCTGTGTGTGTGTGTGTGTGTGTGTGTGTGTGTGTGCGTGCGTGCGTGCGTGCGTGCGCGCGCACGTGTGTGTGTGTGTGTGTGTGTGTGTGTACGTGCGTTCGTGCGTGCGCGTGTGTGTGACTACATCACCGCCTCACGTGTGTCGTCGTTGTTCCGCAGCACACCGGTAACGGAGCGCAGGGCGGCGGACAGAGCCTGCAGTCGCCCGGCAGTTGCCTCGAAGACTTCCGTCCGACACCCTTCATCGAGTGTCACGGCGTCGGCACGTGCAACTACTACAGTACGACCTACAGCTTCTGGATGACTACAATAGAGACGAGCCAGCAGTTCAGGAATCCCGTGCCGCAGACCATCAAGGCGGGCAACCTGCGTTCCCACATCAGCCGCTGCGCAGTGTGCACGAAGCGACTGTAATAGAGGGTCTTACACATCTGTACAGATACAAGCGTTTATTGTATAATAGAAGGTACCAAAGCAGTCGAGTAGTCAGTTGTTCCTCTCTGTATATGTATCAGTAATTGAGATTTACATTCGCTTGGTGCTATTTTGTCATAGTCGTGAGGGTATGCGTTTTGTCTCCGAAGCCAAGAGGTACTTTATATTTCGTGCGCTCGCGGTGGTAAAGTTCGAGGTACCTTTTTAACTAAACTTTGACCGGGCGTTATAAAGTGTTTTTCAGGTTTGCGCATCTGCTTTTGAATACGTGAAATAATGCATGATCGTAGTTTGATATTCGCCGCTTTTAGATGCTTACCCACTGTATATGTTGTAACCATATCAAATAAATATTTGAGGTTTTTCAGACGTTTTATGGATAAGAAAAGACAACGGTCTAGTAAAATCATGCGTTTCAGGGTTGCCAGACAGGCTCCAAAAACGAACACGTGTGCATGACTATATCAGTGTAAGACAATCATCTGTCGGTACAATATCAAAGTCGCCATCATGGTTATTGTTAAAGTGTTGATTCTGTGTTTCCGGAGCATTTTATATTTTCGTTATTATTATGTTTATGAATTCGTTAATCAGTGCATTTAGTCGTCGTTTGCCTGTCTGGCGCCTCGCGTGGCTGTAAGGAATACACGCCTTACCTCGTCGTACGGACGTTTACGATCCGTTACGCAGACGAACGCATTAATATCAGCCACTGTCCCGAAACAACATAGTAGATTATCTACTCGCATCTAGTCCTACATTTTCTCCTACTTCGTTTAAAGGCAAGAGTAGATTGTGATCGTACGAGGAGTATGGGAATCTTGTCATGAAATTGCATTTATACGCAACTGCATTTAAAATGCGTCACGGCCAGAGGAAAAACACCTGTAACCAGTCGGGGGTTTCTTTATATCGCGTATAGGCACCTCTGAACGCCATAACCGCGTTGGTATATATTTTCGAATACGGCTCATTGTTGCCGATCGCTATAGATGTCAGTTATACAACCAGACCTGGCAACAGATAGCGGTTGAAGCAAGTTGCCCATGTTTTAATCGCAGAGCCACTATCCGACGTATGGCCACAAATATTAGAGCCACTGAACACTATCCTTGACTTCCTTATCACGTAAATCTGGTGCACGTCGACTTCTATGGAGAACAAATGTGAAACAAGAGAGAAGACCCAACCAGACACGAATTTTAATGAGATCAAAATTTTTAAAGAAAATCCCCGGACAGTTATTCTGGCAAGCATGCATTTACATACCGGCGACGAACTCTGGTGCTGAATAAACTGTTTACTGGATGTCAGGCATATTTTCTACTTTGAGCGTTTGTCTAGTCTAGTCTTGTTTTTTAAACCGGTAAAAATACGAGGTGGAATAATTAAACGTGTATTTGATTAGGACTTCAATATAGTATATTATCGACAGTGTAAATCGATTGTTTTATTCAATCAATATGGAAAAACATAATTCAGCTGCTTCACACATTGTCTACACAAATAAAATATACGTGACGCCACGCGACGAATAAATTAACATGAACAACGTTTGTGCATTTTGACTAAGGTGCAGAACGACGCATTGAGGTTTTACCAGCACAAAGGTAGATATAAGCACAACTTTTAAATAAGAGGTTAACATAAATACTGTACACTGTACAACAGTGAATTATTTTTTTACCAGAACCATTTAGATTTTATCTGAAGTCGTTTCACCACAGTTCTCAGTTAAGCTGCCGTATAATGTGAGTTGTCCGTTTACGGTTCGATAAAGTAATACGCATACACGCGCGACCTTAAAAAAGATCACAGAATGAAGATAAAATACACTAACAATATTCAGCAATAGCAAGACATACCACAAAAGCGGCTGCTCCGCTTCATTGTGACGGTTGGTTATTAAGGGACTTTAAGAAACGCGTTACAGATAAATATGGCGAAACGTCAAGGTCGAGAAAATGTAGTGCGGTAGCGTGACGAAACGTACAAAACGGGGGAACTGTAACGAGCGTATCACTATCACGAGATGATATAACTATAGATGCCCACGAACTGGAAGGTGTCATTCAATCAATATGTATGATCAGCTAAACAAGATAACCACGTGCGGTGAGAGGAAAGTCACCTCCCCTAACGTGCAGCGCAGTCCCCGCCGCATGCTGGATAGACAACGGAACCAAATAAATACATCCACGCGCGGATATATCTCAGCACGTATAACCAATAATTAATTATAATTTGAAATTATAATTCATTGTATTTTTAACTACAATTAATTATATATAACGATTACAATTAATTATTAGATTAGATTTATAATTAATTACATTCTAGAATTATAATTAAATATATTTTAGAATTATAATTAATTACATTTAATCATTACAACCAATTATTAAACAGCGCCGTCGCGCGCACGCTACAAATCGCGCATCTGCACCGATTCCTTCAGCCGCCTAGGCAGCGGCAGCGCCTCCACCTTGACGTAGAGGTCGCCACCATACAGCGTGCGGCGCAGCGCAATCGCGCACAGGTTTGCGAGCGGGCGCGCGTTGTGCTTCTGCCGCTGCAGCCAGAGCAGCGTGTCCAGCTCGTCTGCCGTCAGGTCGGCTAGGTCCTGCACGAAGAGCCACTGCTCGTCCTGCAGGCTGTAGCCGGCCGTGACGAGCGCACGCACGATCTGCGGCTGGCCGCTGTACCAGGCCGTGTGCAGGTAGTTGCGCGAGCGCTGCTGCACGCGGTTCACTTCGGCGCCGCGTCGGATCAGCTCGCGAGCGACGGCCGCCTTCTTCTGCATAATGGCCGTGTAGAGAGGCGTCTTGCCCGCCTCGCAGCTCTCCACGTCCAGCTTGGCGCCGGCCTGCCGACAACGGGAAGAAGCGACGCGGGGTCAATTTCGAGGGCGCGTCCGATATGGAGGTTACGGCAAGGACGCGATGTTGAACGAAGGTTTCTCTAAGTTTTTATCGTATTTTGGGATGGCATTGACGTGACGATGTCAACGATGTTGCGTCGGGTTTGGTGACGGGAATAATTCACACGATGTCAACCGATGTTGCGTCAGGTTTAGGGATGGAAATGACACGATGTCACGGAACAAAAATGAGACCATTTCAACGGATGTTGCATTGTAATTGGGGAGATTGCCCTAACATTTCACGTAAACGTGCGATTAGACAATTTAAGTAAGCTAAGACACATTTCTTATGTACAAGGGTAGAGGGGGAGTATACCCACTTGCTGTTCAAAAGAAATTAGAAACAAGACCAGTAACTCTAGGGACCATACCAGGGGACCATACGACCAGGCACACCGCCCCTATATGCCAGGAACTAAAGGATTTACAAAGTGATTCAACTGTAAACGTACGACCACCACGAGAACGTAAACTTATGGACCTCTGCTATGCACACTACTACCTACACACTAGCCGCAAGTTACCTTCTCGCTTCTTACTACGTGGCGAGAAGAGAGTACGTGATACAGTCGTAGAGCCTGGTGGGGCTACCTACACACCTACCTTTATGAGAATGTTAAGGATTTTCTGAAAGACTGGGAATTCCATATCGATCCTGACAGTCACGTGCAACGGTGTGGCGCCACTGTAGTCACTGCCGATGTTCACATCACAACCTACAAATCGCCACCACCACACAGCAAGCCATTAATTATTAAACTAATTTAAAGTTATTTAATTACCTTAATTGGGCAATTAATACCATACCGCCATACGGTTCACGCTCCAGACAGTCGCGGCTATCTTCTCCCGCGTTTTTCTCTAACGTTCGACGGTCACTATTCTGCGTTAGTGTTCGCATGAACATATCTATACTTTTATATCTAAACTAATTACTATGATGCATATCATTCATGGCATGCGCTAACTTATACCTATACGTCCAGGACATTACGAGAATTAAATTTTACTCGTGCATATCGAGAACAATTGCAATGATATGTATATGTAGGCTATATTATACGTAAACCTACGTACGCCACAGACGCGCATGCATGCTTGTTAATTGAACTAGAAAACCCGCGCAAGCGCGACAAGACTTGTGCGATTCGATAGATCAATGCTATGAAACGGCAAACATGGAACAAGGAGATGCTTCGGTAACACGGAACGACAAACGTGTATCTTGGATATGTTTCAGTGACACGAAATGATAAACATAGAACACGGAGATGCTTCGGTAACACGGAACGACAAACGTGTATCTTGGATATGTTTCAGTGACACGAAATGATAAACATAGAACACGGAGATGCTTCGGTAACACGGAACGACAAACATGGGACACGGAGATGCTTCGGTGACACGGATTGACAAACATAGAACACGGAGATGCTACAGTGACACGGAACGACAAACATGGAACACGGAGATGCTTCGGTGACACGGAACGACAAACATGGAACACGGAGATGCTTCGATGACACGGAACGACAAACATGAAACAAGGAGATGCTTCGGTGACACGGAATGACAAACATGAAACAAGGAGATGCTTCGGAGACACGGAACGACAAACGTGTAACTTGGAAATGCTTCGGTGACACGGAACGACAAACGTGTAACTTGGATATGCTTCAGTGACACGAAATGATAAACATGGAACACAGAGATGCTACGAGTGTCACTAAATGTCAGACGTGGTGGATGGCAACAAAGATGAGAGGGAACAACTAGCGAGGAGCGCTGCGTCCGCGTGCGACAGCTTTACCACCGCCACTCACTCACTCACTCACCGTAATCGACTAGATTTTCTACTATGGGAATGATAGAGTGCCTCACAGCGGCATGCATGGGGGTGTCACCGCTACAGTCCAGCTGGTCGACGTGACATCCTGTAGACACATACACACACACGCACGCGCCTTAGTGGATTAGTGAGACAACTACACGCTCGGACAGACGCCTCCCACCCGGACAGGCGCCTCCCACCCGGACAGGCGTCACCCGCCCGGACAGGCGCCTCCCACCCGGACAGGCACCTCCCGCCCGGACAGGCGCCTCCCACCCGGACAGGCGTCACCCGCCCGGACAGGCGTCACCCGCCCGGACAGGCGTCTCCCGCCCGCACAGAGGCGCGATTCCGGGCAGGTCGCGGCCATGTTGATATGTCGCAAACGAATATATGCGAAGAAAGCGTCGATCGCCGAGCGTTCTGGCGCTTTCTTCTCGGTAACGCTTCGATCCGCGTAACACGTAAGAGAACATGCAGAGCAGGCATTTCTTTCACGTCAACCAAAAAGCCTATAATAGTTAATAATATTACATTATTACACTATTATTATTATTATTAT